TAAAATATATCTGAATAAAATTAAAAGGACAAGTTATTTTCAAATCAATATATAATTTTAAACCTCATTTAAATGCTATTTCCGATACAGTCAATATCCAATCAAAGATTAATCTCGGTAATGACATAATTTGCTGGAGGCGTTAGAAAATCTAAGTACCTTTAATCATATTTATTTAAAGATCCAATATTTCTTCTGCGATTGACGAGAAATCTCAAGAAGCAATATCGTGTACATAGATAATGTGTCGGCGAAAATGCTTTGAACTAGCAAAAGTGGATCGCATCGCTTGATTAAAAGCGTTTCAACTTTTTACATAATTGCTTTTTCAATAATCGTTCGTTATAAAAGACCAGGTGTAAGCAGATTGCCAATATATGTCAAAATCATATTTAACATAATCGATGATAAATGCGTCTTTTGAAGCAATTTCTTAAGAAGAACAAACAAGATTTAAAAAAAATATAAATAATTTAATTTATTCTCCTAATTATAATTATTCAATAATTTAAAAATATCATCTGTCAAAATTTTCTCTTTCTATGTACAATTACTTTAAATTTGTACATAATTTATTTGTTCATTATATAAATCATCTGTAAGAAAATTGAAAAAGAAACACAAATATTACATTTACAAAATTTATCAATATTCACATTTTACACATGTCGGACCTCAACGCATTGGAATTTTAAAGTTTGTTACATACTGTTGAGATACGATAATAAGTTCGATAAGATCGAGGAGAAAACTTTGCTGCTCACGCAAGCGTTTTGAAATGCTTTACGGGAAACAATAACCTTCCTTTAATAATTATTCCGCTAACGTTCCGATAGACAATATAAAATCCTTTCTGCGTAAGGTAAATGTATAAAGCTTTATCCATAAATTATTCACGACGTAATAAACGCCTTTTAAACGCTGCTTAAAAAAGTTTTTCATTGAAAAATTTTATTTAAAAAATTATAATAAAACAAAAATTATTTATTTTCAGTATAGCTTTGACAAAATTATCTCATTTCTTAACATGTAAGTGCTAAAATAAAATGTAAACAACCCAAAGTGTGAGTGATGTCAGTGCAATAAAATTTTCGTCTTTATTCATGTTATAAGCAAATGTTTTTTTTCTGTTATCTAACTGCGCACAAAGGAAAAAGGCATACTATTATAGTCCAACTCGCAGTTTCGATTCAGGTCGGAAGATATTGAGCAATAACATATTACTCTTTGGCACTTCATCAATTAGTAAAAATAGTGAGAGGAAAATCAAGGAGAGAGGGATGTTTTTTTTAGTAAAACCGCGCACGTTTCCGCTTCGTACGTAACATACGCTTGCGTATTTGAACATAGGATGAGACGATCAAAGATCTCGAGCACCGTCGCCAATTACACGACCTGTTCCAACAATGTGAGCCAACGGCGCGCACAACCGAGTTTCTCACGACATTCACCAGCGTAATTTCTCTCGCCATTGTCTAAGTCGTGAGTCGACGTATAGAGAGTGTGACTCCCATGAGTGCGCGACGAAAAAGCGGAGCATAACGGTGCTGGCGGAAAAATTTCGCTCCTCGACAAGGAAGCTCCCGATTTTCGTTATCGACGACGCGCGACGGAAATAGGTATCTCGTCATTGCGCGTGGAGACGTAATCACGGTCGATTATCCGCGCTTCCGCGCGAGATAACGCGACGAGCAAAGCGACTAATTATAGCCAGCGAACGTACAAATAACTAGGAAACACATCCTCGTATCATGTTATTCGCGTGAATGAGATACTCGAACGCGCAAGTAACAACATGTTTATGACGTTTACGAGCCTTACGAGGTCGAAAATGAAATAATTAAATCGCGAAACATTCCAATTATATCTTACTCATAATTCTGAAAGGAAATTTTAGAAAAGATTTATTTTTTTAATTATTTGACGATTGGTATTCGCGACAAGTTTTGACAAAATGCCAATGTTAATAATAGCGTGAAAACTTTGCCCCCTTTGGAGGACGTCTTATTTAGGAAAACTTTTAGAAGATTCAAAAAATTTTTCTTTTCTTTTTTATCAAACTATGTATATTAAAATTAAAAGAATTTTCATTTTATATTCCGTTTTCTTTTTGCACCTTTTAAATCGCTTCGGCGACTCTGTTTATTATCTGCCGGCGCTCGGAGGTAAGCCAGACTTCCATGGTTCCCTGTGCACAACCTGAACTCAAATGCATTGGCGAACACATGCAGAACCATTAGACCTTCTTAGTATAAGAAAAGAAATTTTCACTGCCCGCCAGTGGTTCTCTATGCAACTATTCTATATACGCGTAATATGGATTGTATGCCAAATCGGCATTTGGATTAAATGGGTGTGAACTTTCAGTCTGATTCTATTATTATGTACAGGTAAATTTGAACTAGTCAAAAAAATTTTCATTATGTCTCAATAAATTGAATGTATCTCGTACAGCAGAAATTATATCATAAGGACAGCTTAAATATATCACAATGTTTGTATGATATATTCGGAATATTTTTGTTGTGTGTGGGCACATCTCCATTAAAGCTAATCGTGTCGATCAACATACTATGTCAACGATGTTTTCTTAGTCATTTTAACCCTTACCTTACTAAGAGGAGTCACTATGTTACCGAATGATTTTTGTTCGTACAAATTTCTTTGCGTCTTTCGATAATTATAAATTGTACTACTAATTTTATTATTTTTCAAAATGAAGTGCCAATATTTAGTCTAGAAAGTTGAAAGTATGTTGGTGAATTTTTTGAATCATGCTGAATAGGAAAAAACAAATGGATTTTAGTGATCCCGTTAATATGGATGAGACACCAAATTGTATTATATCTAGTAAGGTAAGAGTTAAATTTACTTGTCTCATCTAATAATAGAAATATCAGTCTCAAAGTTTGTATCCAATTAATTTTAACATAATGTTCTGTATATTGCGTCCTGTATATTGCATCTATATCAAAAAAAAAAAGTTAGTTTATCGACATGATCAGCTTCAAGGTAAATGCAGGCAAGCATCTAATTAATAAACGATAGGAGAGAGTTACTAAATGCGTATTGTAGTCACTTAAATCATACTTTACCAATATTATATTCAATGTACGCAACAGTACAATTATTATTTAATATAAACATTTAGACAAAAATATAAAATAACTGAGAAATGAATAAAATAAACAAAAATTTAATATTTCGTGTATTAACATTTTAAAAACTCAAGTATAATTAATATTAATTTTTTCTTGATTAATATAGCTAATATAAATGTAATTATGCAATTTTATTCTGAATTTTTATAATTTTATAAAATTTTTATAAAAGAAAGTTTATTATAGAATATTTTACATTTATTTTATATACATATTTAAAGATTTAAGATTTAAGCTTAAAGATTAAATCAATATTTATTTTAAAATCTATTAAAAAAAATCTATTAAGTTTCTTATATAAATCATACTATTATAAAATAAAAAATAATAATTGACAATACGAAAATTAATTAATACTGAATGAAATAAATATATTATTCTAAATAATAAAAATATAATAAAAAAAAGGTTTATTGCATTTGGTAATTCTCCTCTATTCATCCGCATTTCTCTATGAATCTGATCCGAGCTAAAAAAGCAAAGAATGAATGAATTCACTGTCGTTACCTTAAAGCTGAATATACAATAGTGATAGGTTTGTAAGGACGCTCCATCCATATAATAGGCTTCGCTACCTGCGCTAATATATTTCAGACACTCAAAATGAATACTCTGCGAATTTGAGTTTTTGGATATATTTGGATATATCGCTTATGTGCGACATAGTCTTCAGATGATTTCAGGTAGCGATAGCGGCTTCAGTAAATTTATTTTTGCGTTTTAAAACCATGAGAGATATCGTGTAATATATCTTTCAACTTTCTAGCCTTACACAATAGCTCTCAGAAGTGGAAAATTAATTTGCACTTAAAACCGCATGTTTTTTTAATGACAGAATTATGGACAGAAAATTTTTTTGAAAATAATAAAAATGTTAATCGACGTTAGCGCAGATGCACAAATTGCACATATACAAATTGCAATTATATAAAATATAATATTTAAAAGTCAAATAAGAAGAGAAAGTGAAAAGAAGATATAAAAATAAGTTCCTGTAA